TGTGTGTGTGTGTGTGTGTGTGTGTGTGTGTGTGTGTGTGTGTGTGTGTTGGAGTGGGGGGCAGTGTTGGTTGCCAAAACCGAGCTGGATAAATTTGGTTCATTGTTGAGAACATGGATTTTGGAACCAAACTGACTGAGTTGAAACCCTGGCTACATAATTTATTACCACTGTTACTGTGTAACCTTGGGCAAGATATATAATCTCTCTGTGCCTTGGTTTCCAATCTGCAAAATTTGGATAATAATAGTATCTACCATATTGTGTCATTCATTGTGAAGATTAAAACAGTCAATATGCATGAAGAACCTGGAATATTCTTTGGTACATGATAAGTGCTTTATAAGTGGTAGCTATAATTTTTATCTTCTATACTAGGATGCCAATAGACAGTAGAGATAATATCTAAAATTTAAAGTCTGTATGAGCATGTTATTTAGAAATACAGGGAATTGCCTGGTGGCACAGTGGTTAAGAATCTGCCTGCCAACGCAGGGGACACGGGTTTGAGCCCTGGTCCGGGAAGATCCCATGTGCCGTGGAGCAACTAAGCCCACGCGCCACAACTACTGAGCCTGTGCTCTAAAGCCTGTGAGCCACAACTACTGAGCCCTCATGCCACAACTACTGAAGCCTGCGTGCCTAGAGCCCGTGCTCCACAACAAGAGAAGCCACCTCAATGAGAAGCGCGTGCACCGTGATGAAGAGGAGCCCCCGCTCGCTGCAACTAGAGAAAGCCCACATGCAGCAACAAACGCCCATCACAGCCAAAAATTAAAAAAAAAAAAAAAAGAAATAACAGAATACTAGAGAAAACACCTAAAGACAAGCAAGCGGTTGACTCAGGGGACTAGGAATAGAGAATGGAGTAGGTTGGGCACAGGGACGGCCAAAATTAAACTAAAAATAAATAAAACTTTAAAAATCTTAGGTTGTAGTCTAAGAATATCATCATCATTTAGACATGGATGGAGTATTTCTACTTTAATATAAGGGGTGCTCTGCTCAAAAACACTAAAAACACTTTCTGCAGGACAAAACCCAGCATGATTAGAGTTGAGTCAATACCAAGTAAAATGTTAATTTGAGGCATTTATCTGAATAATATCAGGATGACTCAAGTCTCCCTGAACCCTTCAATTACTTAGTCCTGAATTACCAGTATTCAAAAAAAAAGAAAGAAAAAAGGCAAAAGTGTTTGGGTAATTCTGGCATGAATTATTCAG